GTGTTTTGACTTGGGATTGTTTCTGGACTACGATTTTGCTTGCTTTCACCTTGTTTTCTCATAGTTATTGAACTCTGTGATTTTGAAGCAGTTTGCTAGAGCTTTTTGTTATCCCAGATTATATTCCAGTATAATCCGGATTATCCATATTTATTTATTTATTTACTCCATTTGTATACCGCATTTATCAGCCTGGCGGCGACTCAATGCGGTTTACAATAAAAATAACACTGAACAATATGTAAGACATACATCCACAAACAATACACATATTCATCGACGCCTCATTTAGAATCAGATTCCGTTTTCATAGACCTTATACAATCCTTGTTCAATGCCGTCATTGTTAGGTTGGTTATCGCTGCATAGTTACCCGAATGCCTGCTCATAGAGCCACGTCTTAACCTTCTGCTACGTTTTGTTTTTTCGGACAGCAGTTACTACAGTCTTTTAGTTATTGCTAGTAACACTGAGTTAAGTGTTGCTAAGATATTTTTGTTACATTAATAAACATTGTTTGGACTTTTACTGTGTGTTTGGCTCCTTTAAGGCTTCTGGTTCATGACATTAACCTTCATGAGAAAAGATGTTATAACCTAGCCAGATTAGGAATACTGCATCGTGGTGGAAGATTGGTTAAGTTCAAAAATTATGGCAAAAGAAAGTCAAGCACAAAAAAAAGTAGGAAACAGGCCACATGATAGAATTCTGAATCAGTATTACAATGAGAGCTAAACCAGAGCTTAGAAGCATAATTTTACCATGCTATAAACTCCTGGCCATACAGACTGGGAGATTCTTGAGTTTTACTCAAAGATTCTTGACTTTTACTTAGAGGGGAGTAATGTTTCCAGTCCTGCTATTTTTTCCATAGTCTTGTACACATTTGCCATCAGGCTGTGTTCTCATGTCTTCTTCAAAAAGTTAATCAAAAATAATTGTTAAAAATTCTGAACTGCTGAAAAGCAATGGCCAATCAATATCTTCCTTTAGAGGAAAACCAAGCCATGTTCACCAACCAAGTTGTTGTTTGTGTTCTGGTATGGCTGTACCAGGAGCTCCAATTTTATTTGCTTTGTATTAAATGTTTGTTTGCAGTCCTAAGTTTCAGGGACTCTGCAGATAGGTGGCTTCCTTCGGTTGCAGTAATGGGGCAAGTCACCTGTCCATCATCGTTAAGTTTTGGTCCCACCCCTTGCTCAGGGCAATTAGGAAGGGAAGGGAGCCATTTTAAGTTAGTCTCAGCAAGGAAAGCTAATGTACAGGACGTGTGCGAGCTTCCCCTGTACAAAAACTTCAACCCTTAAGACTTTCTTGGGGGAAACAGTCTTAGGAGCATCCAAGACTTTCCGGGGAGAGCAGTCTTAAGAGTCTCCAAAGATTTCCAGGAAAACAGCCCTAAAGACCTCCACTTTTCTGACAGAGACCCTTATTCCATTATCAAAAGCAAATAGCCAAGTTCATAAGTGTTTACACTGCTACGCAGATGACGTGGGTCAATTCTCTAAGGTTATTCTTAGTTCAGCTGCTTATGTAAACTATTGATGTCAGCAAGTAGAGCCTACTCTCCAAGACTCAACGGATGGAATAATTACAAGAGAATGCAATTGGCACTACAACCCGATTTCTGTATTTATTGTCAAAAGCTCTGAAAGAAAACATGAGGGAAATAATATATTATCCATTTATGACAAGCTCCCCTCCCTCTAAATCATGACTTCTTCCTTCCTATTTCTTCCATTGATCTTAGCATTTGGAGGCCTATATTTTTTTAATTGCCAGTATAGCTTTATGCAGAATTAAAACACCACTTCCTTGAAAGAATGAAACACCTTTTGTGTACAAAACCAGAGTAGCAAAAGAGGGACAAATAAGTGGAATGTCCTAAATGACATTTTCCCTCAATCCTGAAACTTCTAGCATTGTTGTTGTTGTTCATTCGTTCAGTTGTCTCCGACTCTTCGTGACCTCATGGACCAGCCCACGCCAGAGCTCCCTGTCGCCGTCACCACCCCCAGCTCCTTCAAGGGCTGGTCCATGAGGTCACGAAGAGTCGGAGACAACTGAACGAATGAACAACAACAACAATGCTAGAAGTTTCAGGATTGAGGGAAAATGTCATTTGGGACATTCCACTTATTTGTCCCTCTTTTGCTACTCTGGTTTTGTACACAAAAGGTGTACAAAACATTCTAGCATTCTAGCATTCTAGCATTCTAGCATTGCAGTAACTTAAAATTCCCGTCAACCATTTAGAAATATTTTTTTAAGCACCAAAAGAAAATGTGTCCAGAGGAGGGCAACTAAAATGATCTAGGGTCTGGAGAACAAGCCCTATGAGGAGTGGCTTAAAGAGCTGGGCATGTTTAGCCTGAAGAAGAGAAGGCTGAGAGGAGACATGATAGCCATGTATAAATATGTGAGAGGAAGTCATAGGGAGGAGGGAGCAAGCTTGTTTTCTGCTGCCCTGGAGACTAGGGTGCAGAACAATGGTTTCAAACTACAAGAAAGGAGATTCCATCTGAACATTAGGATGAACTTCCTGACTGTGAGAGCTGTTCAGCAGTGGAACTCTATGCCCCGGAGTGTGGTAAAGGCTCCTTCTTTGGAAGGTTTTAAACAGAGGCTAATGGCCATCTGTCAGGGGGGCTTTGAATGCTATTTTCCTGCTTCTTGGCAGGCGGTTGGACTGGATGGCCCATGACATCCCTTCCAACTCTATGATTCTATGGTGAGCAAAATTACCAAGAAAATAAACACAGCAAATAAAATGTATCTGCAATAGTAGGGTGAATTTTGAACTATATTCTTCAGATCAATGTTTCATTCTTTAAAACACTAGCATGATGTAACCCCCACCATGTAGGTAACATCAGTGCCAAAGAGAAGAATTAGTATAATCAAAACATTTCAACTTAATTGTTCCATCCAGAGCAAAACAAAAGGGGTTCCAATAATTTTTCTACCAGTCGCAAAAAACCATTTTATTCTTTTGATCCCATTGTCATGCTATGTTTTCCATACTAAAGCATTTTAATGCAACAGGTTCCAATTAAGCATATGAGCACACACTAGTAGTTTTAAAACATTTTTATCTCTGGTATTACTAAATTATTTCAACTGGTATGGAAATTATTTCAATTCCCAGACATTTCCTCAGGCGCCGCCTTCACAACAACAAAATCAAATATGTTTACTGAAAAGCTTAAACCTTTGAAATATCTGATATATCTGCCCATCCTTTTTTAAAAGACTAATGTATCCCATTTTCTCAAAATTAATAAGAGAAATAATTTGCTAGTAAGAACAAACCATAAATAATAACACTGAGAAATTAGTGACCACCAAGCTTTTGCTTGTCTATTCAGACCATATTGAGTCCAATAAGGCATACCCAAAATGAATGAGAAGAATATAACAATTGTTTACCTTTGTAGGAGAGCTTAAGTCTTGGGACATTTTGTTTTGAAGTTCCAGTGACGGGCACAAGTAGCATTCCAAAAGCTAGCATAGTAAATATATGTTGCATTTTGAAAGTTCTCATTCCTGCCATATCTCTAGGTGTTATTCTTGCATTCATGCTGGATGATTCCTCTGTTTTCTTGTTCTGTTTTCTTCTTCTAGTGGGTATCTGGAAGGAGAAATACAATTTCATCATCGTTTGCAAACTAAGTTTGGAATGAGAAGCAAGTATTTTCAGTGGAAAAAGAAAAATGAAGGATGACACATCTGAGCAGAAGCAATTTTATGATATAAACACAGAGAAGATCTAGTGTAGCTAATTTGAGGATGGAGAGAAGAGAGCCTGGTATTGCTGGGTTTGTTTTAGTGGAGCAGCCATGTAATTAGGCACCTGCTTAGTCCCATGGGTGAAACTGTTTCTGAATACTGACCACATCAAAAGAGAAAGAAAAAAATCTTAATCTTCTGCAGTTATTCTGGATGATGCACACCAACTTTTATATATAGAAACTGGATGCAGTGAATCTTCCCTAAATTGTCTACATATTTACCCACCTAAATTATTCAAACAGCTAAAATTCTATTTTTTAAACTTCCTAATAATGCTTTGTGTATGTGTGTTTAATATATTTATTTATTTCTAGAACAGCAATATATCTACATATTTTATGAATCGAATCGTGCCAATCTGAATTGAATCGAATCGTGCCAATCTGTAATCCGCCTTGAGTCACTGTATGGTTGAGAAACCAGACTATAAATGTCGTAAATAAATAAATGCTAAAATGATTTAATTACAACTTTATAATGCATCTTATAATTTAAGAGATTCCTCTTTAGTCAATGGTTTTTTCACCATTCCTTACTGTGAATGTAGAAGTACAGGGTGAGACAGCATAACTTCCTTTTTTTCAAAACTTAATAAAACCCATTGTATGAATCAGAATTATTATTTTTTATAATGTAGGCGCATACGTAAAGTTTTGTTTTACGTAGTTTTGAAGATCAAATTAGGTTGGTGACGCCTCAGGGCCGTAGCCAGAAAAATATTTTGGGGAGAGTTGAAAATTTTGGGGAGAGTTGAAAATTTCAGGGAGGGTGGAAAATTTCGGGGAGGATTGAAAATTTCGGGGGGGGGGGGGTTGAAAATTTTGGGGGGGGGGTTAGGATCATGCTGAAACAAAGAGCACAGCAGGGGACAGAGCAGCCTTTAATAGCCTGCAGCTCCGCCCCTGTCAACCACTTCCACCAAGTCTGGCCTCCTTAATGAGAGCATTCAACACCCACCCATCCCAACTTGGTTGCTTTGCTACATTGGCTATTGCTGCAATGACAGTGTGAATAAATTGTCAATATTTGCTTGAGATAGTGCTTGCAGTTCTGGAGGGACTCTTAATTTTTTGCATCTCATAGACTTTAGCATGGGGATTTGGTTAACCAGTTAAAATTCATGAGTAAACCAGGTTTTTTTTAACCTGAAAAATTTGGGGGGGGGGTTGAACCCCTAACCCCCCCCCTCCCCATCCAATTAGGTAGGTGACGTCCCCCATTCTCCATACACTGAGTAAACCGATTTCTGGCATTTGTCATGACTCTTGCCAGCATAGCAGGCATTATGTTGGCAATTTCTTCCTGGATGTTGGTCTTCAAATCTTGTAGGGTCCTTGGACGGTTCACATAAACACGGGATTTCAAAAAACCCCATAGAAAAAAATCACAATGGGCCAAATCTGGAGAGCGGGTCGGCCACTCCAAATCCGCTCGAAAAGTTTAAGACCAACATCCAGGAAGAAATTGCCAACATAATGCCTGCTATGCTGGCAAGAGTTGTGACAAATGCCAGAAATCGATTTACTCTGTGTATGGGGAATGAGGAACATCACCTACCTAATTTGATCTTCAAAACTATGTAAAACAAAACTTTAGGTATGTGCCTACATTATTAAAAAAATCTGATCCATACAATGGGTTTTATTAAGTTTTTTTAAAAGTAAGTTATGCTGCTGCACCCTGTATGACCATATAATGCAGTTCAATTTGCGTTATAATGCACAATAGATGGGGCCCTAGGGATGACTCATAGTGATGTTACAAGGGTGATGTCTCCAGATGATGCCATTAAGTATGATATCACAAACCTTACATGTTGAAAGCCTTTGGACTCTAGTCTACATAAATATTTGTTCAAATGCTTTTGCTCATTTAAGGTATACAATATCACACTTTAATCACTAAAGTGTAAATCACATTTAAAGAAAACACTGGTATACATGGCAAACCAAATAATGTATCCAAGGGACAAGCATCTCCAAGGTTTTGTAATATTTTTCACTAATTAATCTAATGAAGCACCAGCACAGCAAGAGTATTTACAGCAATAGAGCATTCAGTAAATCTGGCTACAAAATAAACATTTCTTCCTACCATCATCACCATGGAGCAAGCTTTACTTAGTGGAGACATTCACTCTTTGTGTGCATCCCCTTTGTTTATTTATTTAGAAATATCATTTACTTAGAGATGAACATGAGGCCTCATTTATACATAGAGCAGCTGGTCAGCTAGTCAGTCAATAGTTTCTCTTCATTCACAATGAGTTGGACTGTTGTTGGATGTTTATATCCTTACATTATTATTATTATTTATTAACTACATGTATAATCTTAAGAGGAAAAACTGAACTCTGGAGATGAACGCTTAATTTGTCAATGTCACAAAAAAACTGGTCATTGAGCATTATGAAATGTCCTTTCCCTCTATCACTATAGAATGAATAGACAAATACTCTGAGAGTGAGTAAAGAGTAGGCATTCCAATCTGTACTCATTTACAGTCTGTTTTGAGTTTTAAATGGATAGAATTTTAAAAGAGTTCCTGCTTTACTTTTAATTGTTTGAACAAACTAGTATCACTGGAAGCATCTGAGTGCATCTACACTGTAGAATTAATACAGTCTGACACCACGTTAGGTGCCATGGCTCAATGCTATCAAATATAGGAGTTGTGGTTTTACCAGGTTTTAACAATCTGTAATAGAGTGACCAAACTTCAAACCCTACAATTCCACAACATTATTTATTTATTTATTTATTTATTTATTTATTTATTTATTTACTGTACTTATACCCCACCCTTCTCACCCCGAAGGGGACTCAGGGCAGCTTACAAACTGTGGCAACAATTCAATGCCAGATTCAGATAACAACAATATCAATACAACACAATATTATAAAACTGTAAGAACACAAATATATAAATTAAAATAGTCTTTCAAATGATTCAAACATATTAAAACATTTCAAACATATCAAAATTACATTGCATTCAAGCACGATTACAGGTCTTACAGTCCAGTTGTCATGAATGACTCTTTTCAATGATTTTAAAGCATAGGTTCTTTTCATTGCAATTTCCAGTGTGAGAAGATATATCAGATTACAGAAAACATTTAGACAAAGAATGACATTGGACATAGAAACATACAGATTCTATGCAACTACATTGGATTTACAATTACATTGGTTAACAACAAACAAAGACGAATTACATTTTCACTCAACATTCACACCACATGTACATGCATTCATCCACATGCATCCAAATATTGCCATATCCTTTTCTCCCTCCTTGGAGAAGCATCTGTTAGGCCAGACCCTGATTTCCTGCAGCCTGCCAACGCATAGTTCCATAACTTCCATAACGCCAAAATTTCAAAACGCCGAGATGCCAAAACTTCTTTCCCTAAGAACAATGCCAAGGACCAGAACTCTGTTTTCCATACAGCAGAACCTGACTCCCTGCACAAAATCCAAGACTCCAAAAGTGCACTTCTGCTCTTCCCTTGAGAAAGAAGGCCAAAGTGACCAGACTGCTCCCGTGCAGATCTGCCACTATCTGAATACACCATCTCTCTCCTTCCATGGAGCAGAGCATGGCGGGTGGAACAGACTCCTCAGTCTGCCACGACTTGGGACTACATCAACAGAATAATATTGTACTATTATTTTGGGTTTTGCGCATCTACATGAAGGATAGGAATGTATCCCCAGTATATGGGATAGTACTATATATTAAAGGTAGTTTTGTAGTGATTTCAACTGGGATCGTAGTTATGAGAATCATGCCTGGTGAGCATAAGCCAGGAAAGAAAAACAAACTCACCAAGTTGTGGACAACCCATTGAGGTTTATTACAATTGGGCCAAAAGTGATGCAAGTACAAGCAATTTGCTTTAAAATGTAGAAGCATAAACATGCAGAAAAATGCGAGACATCTTATATAGTTCTGACAGCCATTCAAACGTCCTGTTCCCTCCCCTGATATGCTGGAAAGGAGGCTGGTCAGGATCTGCACTGGGATTGGATGAGAGCTTTGCCGATGTCGGTGCCTCCAGGTGGGGATTCTCTTGGCAGGGGAATGGATGATCTAGGGATTCTTCATTTAAATACAGGTGCCAGAAATATTAAAAATTCCCTATTGTGGAATTTGCAATACTTCCATGCCATATCTCATTCAATTTTTTCCCCATTTCAATACATTTTTTTTTGTGAAAAAGATAATTTGCGTTAAAAAAAGTAGAATGAAGTTTTGTGTTTTTTTTAAACACACTTCTTTGTTTCTGGCACCAGGATTGTGGTGCAGCTGGCTGAGTGTCAGCTGCATTAAGATGAATCTGACCAAAAAGGTCATGAGTTCGAAGCCAGGCCGGGTTGGAGTGGGTTTCCAACCAATTGTGGGTAGCCTGTTGTCGACCTTTGCAACCCGAAAGACAGTTGCATCTGTCAAGTAGGAAAATAAGTTACCACCTTAAAGTGTGGGGAGGCTAAATAAACTGATTTATGAGGCCATAAAGAAGACTCCAGCAAAGCATTCCAGGGGGAAGCATGCGGGGAATATGGAAGTGCTTCATCAGCGTTGCAGATGGACGATGAAAGCGATAGCTCCCCTGGCAGCCAGAAAAAGTTAAATAACCTCTGTGTATGTCTGTATATGTTTGTATGTCAAAAATTGGCATTGAATGTTTGCCATATATGTGTACACTGTAATCCACCCTGAGTCCCCTGCGGGGTGAGAAGGGCGGAATATAAAAGCTGTAAATAAATAATAAATAATATTTAAATGAAGAATTCCTGGATCGATCGATCTATCGATCTATCGATCTATCGATCT